TCTCCGCCTCCTTTCACCTGGCTGGGGGCGGCGAAACCGCGGCAGTCAAACCCAAACCCCACCCCCGTCCCTTCCGCGGAGGAATCCGCGATCGAATAGGGCGACCAAAGCGAGATCGCATCCGCGCTCACGACGAGGGTGTAACGGATGTGCGTGGGGTTCCAAACGGGGAAAAAGGCGGTGATCGGACGGCGGTGCGTCGCGCCCACCCGGCGCCGCACGATCCGCCCGCTGCCCCACTGCACGAGGTGAAAATCGTTCCCCTCCGCGGCCGCCAGGACGAAACCACCGGCATCGTTGCAGCCGCCGGCGAAGGCCACCGCGCGAATCCCGCACCCGGCGGTGTCGGCTAACAAAAACGCCTTATTTTCCCGCAGGCTGATGCCGTAGAGGAGGCCGGTGGTCGTTCCGAACGCCGCGCGCGCGGGATCGAGCGGGTGAAAACAAACCGCGGCGATCCGCCCCCCGGTGGAAGGGGGTATCGCAAGACGTAATAACTGGCCATCCGACAAAACCGAAAGGCCCACCCCAGACGCGTCCGATTTCCTGCCGGTCGAGGACCATAAGGACTTGATGATGGTTTTTTCATCTATGATAACCGCCATTTACCCAAGCGCTCTATTGGTTTTAAAAGGAATAATAATAATAATTATTATTATAAGTGTTAACAATAATCAGAGAAAAATTTAACAATGTGTTTCTAGTGGCAATCCCGTATTGAATGGGTGGGATTACCCGACTCCTGCGTGGTGTCTTTTGAGTATGAGTGGGTTGCACTCCTAAACGTGGAATGCAAAAAATCAACTATTCTGCTGAACCCTATAAAAATGACCAACGGAAAAAGTATGAAAGTGAGGTCGAAAAATACTATCAATAGCGTTAAATATCATAAAAAGTGATTAAGTCTCTCCCAATAAGAACATGAACAAGATTTCTTTTGAAGGATCAACCAAACGGTGTGTGTCTTCCAACAGAGAAAGAAGGGGAAAATGGAGATACTCTCTCTAATTGTACATAGAGAAACTGTGTGATTCTCGGTGAGATGGCGTTGCATTACTATTTATTCGACGTTGTTTTCGCTACCTCTCCTCATTTAGCATGACCTTTCGGGAGGTTTTCAGCTTGACTAGCAATGACCTTTGCCGTTCGCACGCTACTAAAAGCGGTCCACTAGCGGTGATGAACCCATGCGTATAATAACGGCAAGGAGGATGTCATGCACTAGCCATCATGCAATACGCATCGGCGAGTCCGATCGCTTTTGAAAAGCAATCTATTAAAATTCAAATTGCAATTCGAACCTGACTTCGCTAAGTATTATATTAAGGTATCTTAGACCTGCACATGATTTTAAATGGTAATGAACTATCCAAAGCACATGTACGGTCCCTATTTACATATAATGGGGGAAAAAAAAAACTCGATATCATAGTGGTACCAAAAAATACCCAATCCCCCGTTCCTTTCTCACGAGAATCTCCCTCGTGGAGGGGGCATCGACCCCGGCGCCTCACGCCGTAGCGTCGCCCGTGGCGAGGGGATGATCCATCGCCCCCACGCCCCCCCTCTCCGCTCGATTCATCCCCCTCCCCCCTACCTGGCGGGGGTTTCATTCGCCAAGAAGGTCACGATCGCGCGCCTGGACGCGCCTTCGGTGGGGTTCCCCCCCCGCCCGACCCCGGAGGGTTCCCCCCGCCGGGCAGCG